TGTTTTCCATTTACACAAATGTTAGAAATGTTGCTCCCTCTTCCTTCCTTCCTTCTTTCCTTCCTTCTCTCTTTCCTTCCTTCCTTCCTTTCTAGTATAATACTCCAACAGAAAGTCACTTAAGGGCCAAAAACGTTTATTTAGTTTACAGTTCCTGACAGGATGCCTCCCATCATTCTGGGGAAGGTGAGCCTGCAGAACAGGAAGCTGGCCTGGAAAACAGAAAACAGAGAGAAGTGAGACCAAGCTATTAAAACCTCGGACTCCATCCCCAGTGGCACACTTGCTCTGGCTAGCTTCCACCTCCTAAAGCTTCTACAACCTCCCCAATAATGCCACCAGCTGGAGACTAAGTGTTCAAAAGCATGAGCCTAAGGGGAGTGGGAGTGTGCTTCATATTCAAATCCCAGTTAGGCTTGGTTTTCTCTTCCTTGGAACACTTCTTTTAGGAAAATTGAAATGGATCTTTACTTCTCTGTCCTGTTGAGTTCCAGTCTTCTCCTAACTCTTGTCTTTCTCAAGGACCAAGGATGTAAGATCCATGTCTTTCAAGTGTATTAAAGATTCTAATAAGGAGGCAATGTCACAGAGAAAAATGGGGCTCCACCTTGCAGTATTTGTGGGAACACTTTAAATCCCATTTAGCAAGCAAAACTCCTCCACCCACATCAATCAGCTGCCACGGAGGGCCCTCCAGTGCTTTCTTTCACAGGGTTTAAAACCTCTCCCACCTTGTGCTGAAGAATATTATAGTCTTCCCACCAATCGTTAACCATCTGGAATAAATTCTTCTCTGCCCCTTTAACTCCAACCTATACAATTTTTCTTTCATGTAGCTGAGCCATGAATGTGGACGCTGCAAATTCTCACTGCGTGTACCTGAAATTCTGCTGCGTTAAGGAGAGTCTGTGTTACTGAATTTGTTTCTTGTCTCTGGTTAACTTCCACAGCATGGATGGCGATCTTTGACAGTGTGTCTAATACAAGCCATATTTGTTAAGAGGGAGAGGCATCTGTTGACCTTTTCATTTGCTGTAGCTTCTCTTCCAAAAATCTTCCTGCATCTAAATTCAGCATCTTCGGGAGAAATAGTTCATCACCTCTGGGAAACACTCTGTATGGTTTCTGAACACGGATCATTTATTAAAAAGAAAAAGTCTGTTCCCATACCATTACTATATCTCAGAATATTTGACAACACAGAGGAGGCCCTCCCAGAGATTCTTCTGTGCTCAGTCTCTCTACTTTGCAGTTTTCTCAGTGAAATGTTCCCTCTGAAAGCTTTGTGCTTTGTTCCCATCCTTCTCTCTCTCTCCCTTATTATCCTAACGTGTTTGTCACATTGTAAATGTACGTGAATCTCATTCACTGACTATTTTATACTAAAAGCCTTTATATTCCAAAAAGAGTTAGTTAAGGAAATAATCAAAGTGTACCTTCTATTATGCATTTTTTTCAAATTTACTTTTATGTTTGTGGGTGTTCTGCTTGCATGTATATCTGTGCAGCATGTGTGCCTGATATTTGACCAGAATACAGAGTCACCTCCCTTGGGACTAGAGATATAGATGGTTGTGAGTCTCTATGTGGGGTATTGGGAATAAAATCTGGATCCTCTGGAAAAGTGGCCAGCGCTCTTCATCGCTGAGCCATCGCTCCAACCCCCATGACTTCATATTTTTAATTCTTGCCTACTATATTGGTTTTGTGCATCCATCAAAGGCTAGTAATTTATCTTGCTGTTTACCAAAAAGAAAAAGTGTGTACTACATTCACCTCAGTAATTTTACTTCTGGAGATTTTTTATTTCATGATGTGAAGACCTAAAATTCAGGTATCATCCTGGATGTAGATGGCACCACTCTGTGGGCTGAGATCTGACACTGCACAGGCAAGGAAAAAAATGAGACAGCAAGCTGAAAAATAGAACCCATCTGCCTGTTTCCTGACTGTGGATACAGTGTGAAGCTCATTGTAAGCCATGCTTCTTGGCTAATATTTCTAAAGGTCGCTCGGTATTACAACAGTAGTAGATAAATCCAGCCCACAGTCCTTTGAGATTCTTAACTGCTGCTTAAGCTCAGCAACTTATTTACATTCCAACAGTAACCTTCCTGGGTCCACTCTCTGATCTAATAATTCATTCTTCTTCTCTAGATTGTTTTTTTAGATGCCCCCTTCCAAAAGTTTTTTTTGATAATTTTTGATAAATTTACGTTCTTCCATACTTCGTGTGTGGACAGGTTATGTGCGCTTATGTAGAACCTTGAAGTTGCTGTTTGTGTTTCTTAATCTTGACTATCAACTTGATGGGACTTAAAATCACCTAGAAGACACAGCTTTGGGTGGGTCTTTGAGGATCCCTCCTGAGAGATTTAACAGAGGAGGGAACACTCCTCCTGGATGTAGTGGCACCATTTCCTGGGCTGTTTCTGAGACTGAATAGCAAAGGAAAATGGAATATTGAGCTGAGGACTAAGCTTTCATCTCACCCTACATCCTGACTGTGGATACAATGTGGCCGGTCCCCTCTTCCTCCAACCTCTGAGATTCTCCACAATGGTGAACTACACCCTTACACTGTGAGCTTAAATCAACCCTCATTTCTTTCTTTAGAAATCCACTACCTAGCTTTATTCCTCCAAGAAAATCGATTTGGACGTATGTCCCCCAACTCCCCATGTCCCGTTTCCTTCATGATCAAACCTGAATAACACATGTGCCTTCTTGGTTGAGTTACGAGAGGATTTAGTGTAATCACGGGGTTAGACACGGAGAAAACTGCCTGCTGTCTAAGTCGGGAATCAGAGGCCATATATGATATTAGTTAAAAATGGAAGGTTTGCTATGCATGGACATTGACACAGAAAAGAAAGAGCTTTAGTCTACATTCTCAAATGACTTCCGCTTAAAATGGGATTTCATATTTCTTGTGAAATGACCTATGCTTGCATTTGACTCTGGAAAGCCATAAATCATGTCACGCCATGGGCGCATAATTAGATATCAAGGGAAAAACCCGAGAGGGGCTTCTGGGAAAGGGAATCTTTTCTATTCCGTTCCACCCCAATTTAGGCTATTCAGTCACATCTTTTGGACTTGTGATTGGGTTTTCTAGAGAAGCGCTCTCTGTTTCCGTGTACTAAGTGCGTGCGCACGAGGGACATTCCATCTCCATCATCGGCAGGGCGATTGATCAAACACACGGTGGAGCGGAGTCAGAGACAGATCCTGCAGCCTTCAGTTAGAGCGCTCTGTTTGGGGAGTCATTCACTCAGTCAGAAATCCACCTAGCCATACTCACGAGCAATATTTCTTAATTTTGTTAATAAGACACCATGAGAAATATCCGAGGGAGGCTTATCTAGATCCAAATGTCTATTATCAACTTATAGCCTTACCTGCCTGGTAATTCCAAATCAGTTTTTGAAAGAAAGAAGAAATAAGCTTATTGGAGAGCAGTTATTCTCAGATAACCCACGTGACTCTGGTAATTACCGCCCTCTCCGAGGACTCTCAGAAGCCTTCCGGAGACTCACTTATATAATGCAGGAAGGCATTAATGGTACCTTGCCTTCTGTACCTTGAGACCTGTCTCTGCTTCATTTTGAAAGTGGAGGCTTCATTTTTTTTTCTTTTTAAAATTTTGTTGCCAACCCCTCTGCCACATCAACCGCGGTGGCAGATAAAGACAGCTTAGACGTTTCCTTCACAAATTCAGAGTTTTGAGGTTTAATTTCTCAAGGTCACCACACCTGGTGAACTTATTGACACCCCTTGAGACCACCTCATCTAGTTTGCTGTGGATCACACTTCCTGACGCCTTTCTAGCCCTCTTCAGTCAAAGCTCTCCCTTGGGAAAAGTTGGAAACAAAATCTGCTGTTAGGCCATGTGGTCTCTGTTTCATTTTGTTTGTCTGCTTGCTCCTTTAGTTTCTTTACATTTATGCCACTTCTATTCTTTCTGACTCTACTTTTCCAGATAATTCTCCTGGGTCTCTGACATTTGGGGGTTTCTTCAAACATGGACCCTTCTTTTGAACATCCAATCAAAATTTCCTATAAATACATACTGAATACCTATCAACGCCAGGTACTGTTCTAGGCATTAAAGATACAATAGTGAAAGATGCAGGGATGGATATACATACTTGCACACACATACACACACACACACACACACACACACACACACACACACTATCCTTTACCTCATCTTCTATTCTCTGCTGCAAGTCCTTTTTAAATGAAAATACCACTGCACTTTTCCCACCTAAGGGTACTTTTCTTTTATTATGTTGAGCCTTGGGTAGATGAACATCATTCTACTCTTCTGAGCCATCTTTTTGCAACGATTTTCTAAAATATAGGTGTTCCCCTTGTTATTTTGTGTGTGCTTGGTACTAGAGGTCAGAGGAGCCTGTCAGATCCCTGTGGATGTTTATAGATGGTTGTGAGGTACCCTATGGGTGCTAGGAATCCAAACCAGGTCCTCTGCAATAGCAGCAAGTGCTATTAAGCACTAAGCCATTCTTCCAGCCTTTTGAATTATCTTTTAAATGGAGTCTTGGTGCTATCATCTGCTTTTCTGGGGTATCATTATTGAAGTTGGGAGTCTGAATATTTATGTCCGCATCTAACTGTTTCTTATAGCATTTCTCTCCTCTAATATTTCTCTGGTGTTAACAGATTAGAAAAAAGTATGAGATCAGTAGGCTCTGCCCTCATGTATGCTTATTATGATTCATTTTTTGTTTTTAGAGACAAGATCACATGTAGACAAGGATGGCCTCAAACTTGCTATGCAGCCAAGGATCATGTCCTTTGTATGGTTCCATTATCGTACATAGCTTTTTTTCATGGACTTATTATAACACAAGATATTTTGCCAACTGACAAAAGCTTTTTTTGGTGCATAACAAGCTGAAATTCAGCTGATGTCTCTCTTATGCATGTGGTCATATGTTTCATTGCTAATGTAAAATGCTATTGTCTTCTAGGAATAACCCTGCATTGGTCTCTGGCATCCTAGTGGTATGGACATGGAGCATGCTGCAGTTTCCCCTGGACTTGGCAGGTAAATATATTCACATTTGTGCAAAGAATGAGAAAATTGTGACTCTTGAATATAAATTGTATTATGACGAAGAGGGCAGTTGAGAGAACTCATGTTTTCATATCCTAATGTTAGCTCTACTCCAACTTAGAAGGAAGGTAGGTTGAGACGCAGGAAAGCCAAATTGTGAACCCACTTTGGTGTGTAATGGAGCTTAAGATAAATCAAAAGAGCATAGCCAGGCATGGTGGTGTGTTCCTTTAATCCCAGCACACTGGTGATGGAGACAGGAAGATAAGAAGTTCAAAGTCATCCTTGGCTAGAGAGCAAGTTTGAGGTCAGCCTCGTTTATATAAGATTCGGTTTCCAAAAAGAACCCCACAAATTAATAATAATAAATACTTGAGCAGTAAGCTACATTGGTTTATATTCAACTCAACTAATATTTACTACTTACTATATATAATCCTGCCAAAATTAATTAAGATGTGTGTGCTCCCAGTTTCTCATCTGTGAAATGGGATGACACTCACAGAAGTTCAAGTGATGTCTCAATTATATAGTGAGTGCTTAGTGACTTGCTCATGTACATTCTCCACAATTCCAGCCAGTCATGTTGTGAGACCTCCCTCATACAAAGTAAGAGGTGTAATTTCAAGCCCCATGTGGAAAGTTATGATTTCCATTAATGGCAGCCTTTATCCTAACTTTAATAAATGCAAAAATCATTAAGGGTTGGCAAGAAGTAAACTGTTTCGGCTGTCATGCCATAATATTGATTTCCTATAGTTGTGCTGTCGTATAGTATGGTACCCACCAGACACACACAGCTGGACAGATTTATATTAAATATAAGTTTAGGAACAACTCCTTAGTGACATTGGCCATATTTTACCTGCTCCATGGCCACATGTGACTCTCGTGGTGAATGGCAAAGACGTGAAACCATACTAGCATCACAGAGAGTGCTATTGGATGGTTTCAACTTGGAATCACACCATAACTTTTTGGTCTGCTAGAAATTTGACTTGACAGTTCTTGTCCTTGGTTCTACACTCTGGAGGAGCCCCAGACTTTAATACTTCTCTTTCTTAATCTATTTCATTCTTTGTGACACTCTTCCTGCTGGCTTCAGGGTGAGAGTAAGATAGAACACACGAACTTGGGAGTTCACATTAATAGTCTCAGAGAGATTGCGAACATTTTGGCTCTTAAGCACACACTTTCTTGGACGAAATTGTTTCCCTAACAAATGAAAAGAGAGTTGCCTGCCTTTTAAAAAAAATAAAATAAAAAGATTGGCCATGGCAGTGCACTCCGTTATTCCCAGAACTCTGAAGACAGAGATATGCAGATCTCTGGGTTTGAGGTCTGCCTGGTCTACTTTGTGAGTTCCAGGTCAGCCACAGCTGAGATCCTCCCCCCCCAAAAAACCCAGGAAAATACCAATGCAATTACAGATTAATAATCAGAAACAAATATATATGCAAACAGCATGCAGATATCTGCTGGTGTGCTTTAGGTTTGTGGTACTTGTTACACAGCTAGAAGCCAACCAGCTGCTGTTCTGATAGACTTCTAGGCTCCATCCTTAAGATACTGAGTAATACCTTTGTGAGTGGGGGGTCTGCCAGGAGGGATTCCCTGAGCATGGCTTCTCAAGAAAGGCACCCACTGGCCTTATGTTTGTCTTTCCTTTGTCATCCCCTCCCCCTGTCCTATCTTGTGGTTCACAGACTTGCTAAGAAAACTTTTATTTCAGAAAGAAATTGTGTAAACGATCAGAGGTGATAATGCTATGCAGCTGTTTGAAAAACAAAGACCAAATGTCACTTCTGACTAAACCGATATTGTATTCTCCAACAAGCAGTACATTATGTTCACCCCTATCAAAGCCACTTCGTGGTATTTGCACACCCTTGCTGGATTGAGACATTCTTTGTTGGAAAACTCCAAATGGAAGGCTTTATTGTTACAAAAAGGATTATCTTCTACCCTTGACCCTGAATTTAATTTACATCTTTGAAATTAAAACAAAAGTTTCATCTGTTGATAGAGTCTTCTTTTGTTCAACTGGCAAAAAAATATCTGCAATTATTCTAGGTCTTGCTAGGAATGAGGACAAAATAAAATAATGACCTATATTTGTGCTCCCATACCAGACCCACAATCACCAACATAGAAAAATATGTTTAATGTGAGTTAAATTTGAATTTGAATGCTAAGCATTCGAGTGGAGTAGTAAGTAGGGACATGCTACAGAAAGCATCTGGGATGTTTGGTTGGGAACTTTCCCCCCCAAGAGGAAGACTAAAGGAAGCAGAGAACAGAAAGAGAGATAGGGTGCCATTCTAATAGAAAACATATAAACTAATGAATAGAGACCCGGTCTTAAGGTTCATGCTATCCTGGCTTTCAAGGCAGAACCTGAACTGCTTGTAGGTTATGCAACATGGCCAGTATCTCAATGCTATATAGTGAGGCAGCCAGAGGAAGTACCAGGCTACCTGACTTGAGACCCCGGTACACACAGGTTGCCTCCCGGCTCTGCAAACCCCGAAACATACACATGGCAGTTTCCCTTTACACCTCATGCTCTGTAGTCTGTTTAATTGGTCATTCCCTACAGGGAGGCTAAAAAATGATGCAAAACCTTTAAAGTGGGTGGAACCACGTGGCAGGATGTGGAGGCCTGAGGTGAAAAGAAATTTCTATTTTCCCCAGGCTTAAACTGCACAGTCCTTCTCCACCCTTCACAGCCAGACTGCCTTTCGTGAGTTTCGGATGTCTGTTTCCATCTCGCATGTCTGAACTTTCATTGTTGTGTGTTTCATTTTTCAGTCCAGTTGAAACTGGTATGCCCCTCCTCTGTGAAAGCCAGGGGCTTCCTCCGGCTGTTTCTGTGCCAGTACAGCGCAGACCTATGGGCCATTGGCCTCAGTTTCTTCATCCAAGACGGCCCCTTCCTCATTGTGCGCCTTGTCCTGATGATCTATTTCAAAGTGATCAACCACATGCTGGTGTTCTTTGCCGTGAAGAATTCCCTGGTGATGGCACTGCACTTCTACCGGCTGGTGGCTTTGATCATGGCCACCCGCGCTTCCATGCAAGGTCATCCAGAAAGTTCCCAAATGTCGCGGCACAGTGGCCCAGACCAACCCTCTGAGAGTAGTCCCAGTGAATGGGAGGACACCTCCAGGGAGGCCCTGCCTTTGCAAACCTCGCCTGTCACCTCTGAAGAATCCTACCCCATACCTTAGTTACATGGAAGTTCCCTGCACGCAGCCGGGAGCTTGACTGATTTTCTTCTTATAGACTGGTTCTCTTTTTACTCCCCATCCAGTTTCCACATACAGCAGTTTTTTACGGAGACGGCATGAAAAGATGGTCTTGTACCAAAGCCAACGTACTCTTCATTTTTTTTCATCTGAATGGAAGAAACTTTGACAGGTACCTGTCGTTACAACTTCCTGCGATGGTAGCAGACATTAAACCCCTCTAAGAACCACTCTGAGTGATTGGTTCTTATGGAACTGTTTGGAAAGTTGTAGACAGGGCTGTCATAGCACACCCTCCAAAGATTTAGGGCTGACAGTTACCATCCCCACCCTCAATCCTCTAGGGTGACCTCGTTATACAGAAGCCTTTAACTGTGGCTGGACTGTCACACTCTCTCATCTAATCTCTTCATTGTTTCTCTGACACAAAAAGAAAATCTGCATTTACTGAATGAAGAATAAATGAAGGGAAAACGCTTTTAGATTCAACTTGCTGTGGCATGGAAGCTTGGAACTCCTGCTACCCAGCTCCTTCAGTGAGAAAAAGAGCTGTGATAACTGCTCAGGCCCTCCCAAGACTATCCTTCTTCTGGATCAGGGTGGTTTTTCTGCTGTGGTACATACATTTTTAGAGAATAATGAGAACTTTGAGCTTTGGTGGCCCAAAGTTGACAGCAGGTCATTTTGGTTCACATACCAAGTTAGTTTGCTTTTGCATTGTCAAGGTACATGCAATCACATGACCAGGTTCCAGGGAGCTCTGGTGTGCAGTGATGAAGGAGTTTGTGGCCCTTAGTGTTGCCATGGTTTCTCTTGGCTACCTGCAGCCACTGCAGGAGCAGCAACAATAACAGAGTAAGCCACAGCTCCTGGGAAATGTCATTCCTGACTCCAGCTTGGTGTTAGGAACAAGAAGGTGTTGGAAGACAGTACCAGCCTCATTCACAGGACCTCCATTACTGCTGAGAGTCACCGCATACCACCCTATCACCACCTGGGAAGACATGGTGGCTTTGTTTCCCATGATTTAAATAGTCTTCCTCTTCCTTTATACATCTCTGTACATTCTGGGTGGATGATTCCCAACCATTGAAAGCAACTCTTGCTTATAAATATGTGGTGAAAACCGGACTTGGCAATCTAGCAAACAAGTCTAAAACTGAACTGTTAAGAGTTTAAGGCATCTCTCAACCCACACTCGAATTCCCGGGAACTCAGAGATGTTTATTCAGGGAACTTTCTAATTGGATGTGACCATTAGATGATCAACTGGGACACATTTTTTTTAATCTCTGGATTTCTAATGCGACGTGGTATTTATCCACCACATTTGATAGCATGTTTTATAAACAAATTATATTTTATACAAAACCACAACTGTTTTCTAGTAATTTTTACTTCTTCTGTGCCTTGTGCTTTCCATTTTAACAATGTCACGGTTGTGAAATGTGCAGGAAACAAATGGAATGCATTTATACATTTTCTTAATAATCATATGCAAGTTAAGTTCAAGATTGTACGTATATAAAGTCAAGAATGTGACAATTTTAAAGGTGTGTCATTTAAAATTCTTAGTGATGAGACTTGGGGAGATGCCTCATGGTTAAGAGTATATACTGTTCTTGCAGAGGACTGGAGTTCATTCTGATGCCCACTTCCCAGAGCTTACAATGCCCTCTTCTGGTCTCTATGGGCATTGGCTGCACTAGTGCAGGAGTACGTGTACACACGCACACACACACACGCTCGCACGCGCACACACACACACATGCACACACACGCACACGAATAATAAAAATATTTTCAAATAAAATATTCGGCAATGGGAAGCAAAGAGGGAAAAACTGATAACACCTGCTACTAGTCAAACTGCCTCAGCCTTCTCTTGCAGTGGTGGCCGCTTTCTATTGCATACCTTTGCCCATGACACATATGTGCCACTCCTTACTGCCTGTTTGCTCCCAGCATATTTTCCCCAGAAAAACAAACACTGGGTCTCTAAAAATAGAGCATAAAGTAATATGGCTGTTGCAAGGATATTTTTAAATGCTTTTAGATCTGAGGCTTGGCTTGGTTTCATGAAAGACTTTCTGGTGTTTAAATAAAGTATTTTGTAATTAGCCCTCCTTCTCAGGCCTGTCCAAAATCTGGCTTAACTTAGAATGCCAGGAAGTCAGAGAGCACCCAGGACCAGCTTGGTAATTAATGGATGGTCAAAAATAGACACGCAGTCTTCAAGGCTTTTCCAGGAAAATCTGCTAAAGGCAGCATTTAACCTAACTGCCAGTATTTCCATTTCCTTATGCTGGCTGCTTTGATCACAGCAAAAATGTCTGTTGCTTAGTCTAGGTTTTATCTCTGATGAAAAGTTAAAAATGTATTCAGTTAGTAACTTTTGCTATTATCTTACCCTTTTAAATTGTGTGTTTTTATTGTAGACTGGTATATGTTGTGATGTTTTTAGATTTCCAAGCACTTGTCATAAACTGTCAGAGCATCGCCCATCCCTCATATGTCAGCATCTTGAGACATGTTTACATTGTATTTGTAGTGAGATAGCTCACATCACTTAGGATGCAGACTCTGCCCTGTGCCCCCAGTCACCATGCACAGCAAGTTCCAACCTCCGAACCGGAGGGGGCTTCACTTACAGTTGCTGAAGCCATTGCAGGTTGATTAAGGCTCAATCAAATATCCTTCCTGTAAACATGTTCCTCCACTTGTGAGAAAGCCCAGTGTCCCTGTTTACATGATGCTGTGTGTGGACACGCCTCTGGGTCCTCTTAGACGTGGTGCATATTGACAGAGTCTTAAATGCCACAATACTGTGCTTAAGACAAGCACACTGAGCCGTCTTTGATTATTCTGCCAAGTTCTGTTGCAGTTGTAAATGGCAGTGTTAGAATGTGGTGGCTTGAACTGGTCAATGATATTGTATGCTTCCAGGGAGATGTCGAAGAGAATTCTGCCACTGGCTCTGTTGTCCCACCAGAAACCCTTCAGCAGCCATGAAGATATGTCCATATGACTTGGAGTTTGCTACTTTCAACACGTCTCTTTATTCCACAGGTGCCTTTCAGAACTCTGGAAGGCATACCTCACGGGTATGAACCTCTTAGGATTGCCATGGTTCGGAGTTCAGTGTGGACTCTACTCATCTTGGGTAGTTAGTAACAAGAACTCCAGTAAAAAGAGAACTATTGAGATGAGGTCCATCGACCTCCATTCCACCCCTTAAAATAGATGGCAAAGCGTCACAGATCAAACAGCCCTGAATTGTGAGATAAAAAGACACTGTTAGTTCTTTTGCTATCTTCTAATTCTAGGCTTTGTTTTTCACTTAAGGGGACTTTTGATATGTTCTCAGACATCTTAGGGTTTGACTAGGCAGCTGGAGGCTCCACATAACTTTCACGATGACAAGAGCAGCTTAACAATGATGGAGGAATGAGTCACTATGGCCATCTACTTGATCAGCTTTTATCTTTGAGGTCTTTTTCACTGAAATAACATGTGAGTGTATTTTCTGTGAATATTTCTATATTTTACTGTGACTGGCTTTTTTGTTTTATTATGAACATTAAATACTTGTGTACAGCTTTCTCCCAATGCCTATTTTTGGGTTTTGCCTATTTTGTGTGTTTCTCTACTATAACTCATTTCCTTCATGGTTTTTAAGCTCTGGCTTAATAAGTAATACTGATCTATTTAGAACATGATTAAAGTGACATTTCCAAACAGCGAAAGAATGACCAATTTTATAAATGATGTTGGAAAATGTTGCTATCCATCTGGAAAACATAAAGTGGGATTTTTATCTCATGAAATCTATAGAAATAAATTCCAGATGGATTAAATCTCATTGTAAAATGAAAACTATAAATACTGGATCGAAATATTGAGCATGTGGGGGATGGGCAACCTTCTCTAAAGCAAGACCTAAAACCCAGAAGCTATGAACTGACAGACTTTTCTACATAAATGCTTCACATTTCTTAGTGGTAAGGGGTGTACTGAACCTACAAGTTGGAGAAAAAGAAGCAAAAACTGTTATAGTCAAGAAAGAGAAAAGTAGATATTGAGAAGGAGGAGCCAAAGGTATATTTACCCATAAAAGATGGAGTGCCTAAAATTACTAAGACCTAAGTGACAATTTAATAGCTAACTTAAAAGTAAATAAATCCAACAGCGTTATGAGCAATCCACATGCAACACACTTTTGAACAAACTTTTCTTACAATATTAATTAAGCCCTTAAAATGTGTAAGTTGAATCTTCAGAATTTTGAGGAAAGTTTCAAATGATGCTGAGAGTCATAAACGAGTAAATCACCAAGTAAACATGTTCTACTGGGCAGTAATAAGAGGCACTGGTAGTTTAGAAGTACCAAGGTCTCCTAAATTCATCTATTTAACATCATCTCTACCAAGTTACTAATAAGATCCTTTTTGCATGCATATATGAGTGTGTCGTGTGTGGTGGTGGTGGTGGTGGTGGTGGTGTGTGTGTGTGTGTGTGTGTGTGTGTGTGTGTTCAAATGTGTAAGCATGTGTGGAAAGCCTTCCCAGTTGTCAGATGGCTTCTTCAGTTGCTTTACACTTTTCAGTGGCTGAGGTAGGATCTCTCAATGAACCCAGTACCAGCTTGTCAGGTCAGTCCAGTCAGTCAACTTGTTTGCTTCTGTCCCCCAGCACTGGGATTACCAACTACCTGCCATATAGGAAGGTATATTCACATATCCTAGGGATTCAAATTCTGCTTCTGCACTTACAGGGCATGCCTTGCCCACTGGACCATCTCCCAGTTCTAAGTCTTTAACATCTAGTGACTACTATTGATTTTAACAACAGATTTTACATTCTAGTGATGACTTCTTATGCTAGACTGTTTTATAATGAAATAAGCACAAAAAACAGCTGGAGCATGGTTTTAAAAGACAAATGAGAGAGTGTTTTCAGTATATTTAACCACATTACACAGTTACAATAGACAAGAGAATTTGGTTCTGTCATATGAATAGACAAGCCAAAAATTTGAATGGAATAAAGTCAATAAATATGCTGAACTACATAAGGGATTCGGGTACATGATAAATCACAGGCCAGGAGTAGAATATTATGAATAGTTTAGGTTTTGTAAAATATTAAATTGGATCTTTACTTCAATCCATATGCTGAAAATACTTCCAGATGGATCAAGTGATTAAATATTTAAAATAAAAAATAGAGGATGTTGCTTTTGTACATAAAATGGCAAGAATGATTTTTTTAATAAGACAGAAACAAGGATGCAGAGAGTATTCACACAGCAGCTCATGGAAAATTACACATCATAAGGACATCATAAGCAAAGAAAGCCGAACAACAAACTAGGCCAACAGAATAATAAACAATAAACTGGGTGGATGGGCTTGCAGCAAGTATTCCTAAGCATAAGCTTTCCTAAGGAACAAACAGCTCTCATAAATAAGGGGGAAAAAAGTAAAATGCCACTGAAAACCAGAAACACAAGTAAAAGACTTAGCATATGATTTTATGCAGACAGAATAAAGTATTGAAATAAACCACAACAAAATATCATTTGTCAAATGAAAACTAAACTATGAGTAAGAACTTTTCACATGTGGTGCAGAAAGAGAGGCCACATTTTTGGAAGGTGCTTTAATAGGAGGAATCTATGAGAAGTAGCTACCACTGTCCATGGGAAGTCAGTATTCATACTGGTTCACTTTGACCATAGAACTCAGAGATGAAAATTAACATTTGTGATCTAATCTAGCAACTCAACATCTAAGCAACCATCCTGTGATTTTATGTATGCAAAAAACGTGAGAGCAGAGAGTCCCTGGAGTAATGAGTAAACAATGGGGATATGATACCTTATCAATTTTAGAAAGATTGATCTAAAATCATTGGTAGGAACAACCACTTAGGGATTTTGTTAAAATTAAGGATGAATGCAACTTTGTGTGTTATTTACACCTTCATAAATAGCTAACAAACATGAAATGATGCTTATTTTTAAAGACATTTCTGACTCTAATTTCTTCTTTTTTGTTCTTTACTTATTTATTAAAGATATATTTGTCTTGATTAAGTATTTGATTTTTTTTGCTTGCATGTATGCATGTGCACCATATGCATTCAGTGCCTGTGGAAACCAGAAGAGGGTATCAGATCACAGGGAACTGGAGTTGCAGGTGGTAGCTGGGAACCAACCCTCATTCTCTGCAAGAGCAGCAAGGGCTCTTAGTAGATGAGTCATCTCTTCATCTCTTATGCTTTTTATAACTTGGATTTTAGAAATTGACAAATTGCTTTCCATGCATAAAAAGCAATTATCAGTAAAAGGAAATCTCACTGCCTTATAAACTTTACAAGAATCTTCTGTCATGGCTAGAAACTCTGATACCATTTTACAAATAAAGTAGCAATCATTTCTTTTCAACCTAAGAAAATAAAGACCTTACCATTGTAACCAAGAAAAAAATCCCATAAAACACGTGATAAATGAAGGGCTTAGACCATGTCAAATTCTGCTTGCTTCATGAAGCATTGAATACATGGGAAATGAAATCATGAGTAGATCTATAATAGCCTAGAAAAATCAAACTGACTAAAGGACTCACTGGGTCCTGACTGGTAAGCATCACAGAAATTGTGTTGTAATTACTAGTCTGATAATCCTTACTCTCTGACATTTCTGGAGCCACCCAAACAAACCATACAGAACTGTAGCTTTGAATTATATAGTCAAACTTATTTTCTAAAGAGAGACAGAGAATTGAATAGAGCCTTGAGGGGTAGCAGACTTCTGAAAGAATTGATGTGTGCATTTCCAAGTCCATTTTCACAGCTCATCTAATTTGAGTATGCAGCCATTCTAGATTTTTGTCAAATATTTACTAAATGTACAATGGGTTGTGGTGTATGATCTAATGGGTCATATGCAAATCTGATCAAATCATGGAGTAAAACCAAAATTCCTAAGCCAACCATATGTCAGATACCATATACACTTCGTATCCAATGAAGAATCTGGGCCAAGGAAAATTGGAGCTATAAGACAAATATGTTTTCTCTGTGGAGATGATGCTCAGCTCCTGCCAATCATGTGGTTAGAAAATCAGATGGCTCTGGTTCTGATATCTTGGGAGTTGCTCCTACCTTCTGGCAAAGATTGCTTTTCTCCATTACTTAAGAGTTCCCAAGTTACTTAAGTGACAGGTCATAGTGGGTCAAAAACTGAAATTACATCATCATCTGTCTCAGTTTCAACTGGTTCCAATGACTAGCAGATTTTACTGGTTTATCTCTCTTCCATGTGCCTCAGATGCAACCTGCACATTCCACAGAAAGAACTCACTAGCTCCTCTGCTCAGGCACCCATGGCAGTATCAGATGATCCCATAACCCTTTCTCTTTGCTCTTGTTTCTCCTTCCTAAACAGCCCTCAGGTTTGCAAGATATTTTCATGGTTGCTTTTGCTTGTGTTTCTCTTCCATCTTTATCCTGCTGTGGATAAAGCCAGGGTCTTGTAGAACAAAACTGAGTGAAGGAACATATATTACAAAGGAGATTTATTAGATTGGCTTGCATAATACAGGTTGGAGGCTGGACAGTTCAACCCATCATTATCTGCCCACTGGAAGAGCCAGAAAACTGACAGCTATGCAGGACATGAGGCTTGATGTCTCAGCAATTGCTGTGAGTTCTCGGTCTTCAGTCTATGTTGGGAGGATGAAGAAGTTGGGTTCTGGTGTTGGTGAGGATGGTGGCAGCACTAACAGCAACACAACAGATGCACTTACCGGCAAAGAATACAGGCAAGCAAGCAAAAGCAGTCCTGCTCTTGGCTCAGCATATTTATATCTGGGCTGTTACTGCCATGAAGGTGTTACTTAGTCTTCAGTGGGGGCATCTTCCCTGTCCACTCATCCTTTCAGGAAGTAGCCTCCCAGAGGGAACCTGCCTAGTTGATTCCAGATACAATCACACATCTCTGAATTAACAAAACCAAAGTTCCTAAGACATTCGTGAAGACATGCTAGCCTGGACCCAATGCTTCAGTTCCCTTTGCCTTTGCAGGCTGCCTCTGCCTTACACAAAGTAGCCACCACAATAAACTTTGCTGTGCCTGTCACTATCTTCTACACCATGTGCTTGTAAGCAGTGTTTTGTTTGTTTGTTTGGGTTTTTGTTGTTTTCAGCAAATTCCCTACAACCCCTATTTCACTAGTAAACTCATGTCTACTTGCCTTCTCCTTCCATGGACTGCCAAAGTACCCAAGGCAAGAAAGAACCTCTGCATCCATTCTTCCATCCTGGGAACAGAGTCCCCAATACTGACTCTTAATTTATGGAGTTTGCATTGGATCAACAATGCCAGGGGCTGTGGCTGCTTATTTATCGTGGACCCCAACTGCAGTTTCAGAAGAAGCAACAAGCCCATGATCTCTAGAAGTTTCTTCTTCTTCTTGAGTTCGGAGAGATGTACATTTCCTCTGCTGTTCACTAATCCTGTAACTTCTACTTAAGTAGACAGCCATGCTTTGGCCCGTTCACTGACACCTGATCCCTACAGAGATTTTGCATCACTCTTT